TCTGTATCATCACTGAGTAGGACTGCAGGGGAAAGGGTGCAGCCTGCCTTATGGAGATCCAGTTATGTTTGATGTGGATGGTAAGGTTAAGCCTGCAGAGCTCTCTTTTTTTCCTGACCAACGACTGAATTCGGCTGCCCTCCAAAAATCTTAAGGGTTTCAGAAAGAGAATCTCTGTCTGAGGTGGATATTGTTTACATGCATCTGAAAGTCCTAAACATTGTTGCTCTGGTTGAGGATTACTAATTATGTCCACCTTTATGTAATTTGTATTATAAAAAATACGGGTTTTTTTCCTTAATATAAAATTCTAGTATTGGATGTGTTTTTTTCCTAAACTTAACATCCTCCTCTGCTCACTCTTTTCAGATGATTGCTTGCATAGTCTTGTCCATGTCCAGGTCTAGAATATCCTTTTTGTTCAACGGGTACCAACATAATCACTTAATGCTTTTGGGATCAATACTGTGATGCCTTACCTAGAGAGGAGTATGGTGCAGAAAAAATAATCCCCAGTCAGCTTTTTATTGGTCTTCCTAGTACTTATACCAGTCACTGGTATGGATTACAAAGCTGGATAATCTGCAAAGACAAGATAATTTTATTGGCTGATGGAACTGGGGCATTTTGAATTAGTGTGCTGTGAAATAGAGATTTTTGGCCGTTGGATATTGGGTTGACTCTTCCCTCATTCTCAATGATATTTTCTCTGCCACATTCTGTCTTTCATCCTCTTCTGGTTTTCCCATCATTTACGTGTCCTGATGGCTAGCCTTCAGTCTTATTTCCACTTTGAACATTGTCATTCTGTCATCCATATGGCTTATCACTGGGTCGGCAGCCTAACTTCATTGTGGGCCAAAGACACAATCTTTTGGGGGAAAGACATTTGGGTGGTGCCTCTGCATCAAGCTATAGGATCAGATTAGAAGACAAGTGGTATTTTCTTGCAAAATATGTAGAGATACTGATTGATACATGAGAAATTTGAGTTGGAATGATTGTTTTGCTTTTACATGTCACACAAAGTGTGTTTGTAGAAGACAGATGGAGCTCTATAGATTCTTTACGAAAAACCAGGGAACAAGACTTACAGTGAGAGAGAGGCCTGGTTCTGGTTTTGGCACTGGAGCTTATAGCAGTGTAGCTTTGAACAAGGCACTTAATTCTTCTGGGGCCTCTGATGGGTAAAGTGGTTGACGGTGCTTTGCAAACTGTAGAAAGCAGTGTGAGCAACTGTCAGCTTACACCTGCAGACACCTGCATACCTAAACCAAGAGGCAAATCATATAGGCAGTCCCATTTTTTCCTTCCAGTGTTCATAGAAAGAAATTGGGATTTTACAATTTTACTATAGCTAATCGCTTCTTTCATAGGACAGGTGCTACAGTTTGGAGATGGATTTCTAACCAAGAATATGGCATGAAACAGACTATAGAGGACCAACAGTATACTGCAAATGGAAAAGCAAAGATGAAACTATAAACCCAGTATCTTAAGATATATTTGTTTTTATTGTTTTTTTAAGGAGGCGCCACACCCAGCGTGGAGCCCAACACAGGGCTTGAACTCATGACCCTGAGATCAAGACCTGAGTTGAGATCAAGAGTCAGATACTTAACCAACTGAACTACCCAGCACCCCAGGATATATTTGGATTCAAGATACTGATCTTAAAAGTTGCCGTTAAAGTTTAGTCACAATGCATATGAGAGCACAGGTCTGCCAGTCGTTTAATTCAGCTGAACTGAGCCAAATGTTAATGGTTTGTTATTCTTTTCCACCACGGGCTTAAAAAGATATGCTTAGACTCATGAAATGCCCCTGTGACAAGTAGAAATTAAGAATTGCATTGTGTTTGGGGTGCCTGACTGGCTCAGTTGGTAGAGCATGCAACTCTTGGTCTCAGGATTGAGTTCAAGCCCCATAGTCAGCATGGAACCTACCTAAAATTAACCAAAAAAATTAAAGAATTGCAGTGGCTTTGAGATTATTTGGGAGGCGGGGGCAGTAGTTGGGAAGAGGGAAAATATCTTCAGTTCCACTCCTGGCCAGCAGGTGGTAAGTTCTGGGCTAAGACCCTCTGGACAGGTTTAGGCTAAGTAAAGCTTTGGAACAGAAGAGTGACAGGAGGCGGAGGAACAGCATGTACTGTCTGTTTTTGTCCACTGTATATATGGAATAGAGGGAATATTGTGGAATGAAAAGTTTAGCAGTGGATTGGGAATGTGGATTTGACCTCATAGAACCTCAGCTTCTTTTTTAGGGGCTTGATAGCCGTACTATAAGCAAACTGGTGCTGTCAACAAGGTACAGATTATGTGGCTGCAAAGAGGGGGAAACCATACCAAGACAGGAGAATCAGAAGGCCCTAGAGGTAGTCTGAGCTGGGCATTAAAGGAATGTGGGAGACTTGACATGGAGTGCAATTTGAGCAAAAGGCACAAAAATCAGGAAATAACGGAGCATGCTTAAGAAGCATCAGGTTGACTAGCAAGGGAGTGTATTTGGAAAGGTCAGCCACATCATGAAGAACCTTAAATTCTAGGAATGAAGTTTATTTTTTTTTTATTTTTTATTTTTTTTAAAGATTTTATTTGTTTATTTGGTAGACAGATCACAAGTAGGCAGAGAGAGAAGGGAGGAAGCAGGCTCCCTGCTGAGCAGAGCGCCCGATGTAGGGCTCAATCCCAGGACCCTGGGATCATAACCTGAGCCGAAGGCAGAGGCTTTAACCCACTGGGCCACCCAGGCACCCCAAAGTTTCTTTATTTTTTAAAAGATTTTAAGTACTCTACACCCAACATGGGGCTTGAAGTTACCCCCCAAGATCAAGAGTTGCATGCTCTACTGACTGAGCGAGCCAGGTGCCCCAAGTGAAATTTATTTTTTATTTTATTTTTCCTGCTACATTTAAAAAAAAAAAAGATTTATTTGTTTTAGAGAGAGTAAGTGTGCATGTGCACATATGCGGGGGCGGGGGCAGAGAGAGAGAGTAAGTCAGGCAGACTCCCTGTTGATTGCAGAGCCTGACATAAGGCTTGATCCCATGACCTCGAGATCATGACCTGAGCTAAAATTAAGAGATGCTTAATCGACTGAGCCACCCAGGTGCCTCCCCAAGTGAAGTTTATTTTTCTTTTTTAAGATTTTACTTTTTTATTTGACAGAGCACAAGGAAGCAAAGTGGCAGTCAGAGGGAGAGAGAGAAGCAGGCTCTCTGCTGACCAGGGAGCCTGATGCGGGGCTCGATCCCAGGACCCTGCAATCATGACCTGAGCGGAAGGCAGCCACCCAGGTGCCCCATGAAGTTCATTTTAAAGTTGTGGGTTTTCTGGGCGGTTTTAGGCAGGAAGTGATAGATTTCAGTGCTAGACAATTCACTTATTTTCCCCCCGTTTTTATTTGTGGCAAAAAAAAAAAATTCAATTTCCAAGTGAACATAATATTGTCAGACATATGTGCATTGTGCATAGACAATTCACTTTATTTTTTTAAAGTAGTCATGCCCAGTGTGGGTGTTAAACTCACGACCTAGAGATCAAGAGTTATACCCTCTACCAACAGGCACCTTGACAATTCACATTTTAAAAACTTTTTGTTTTTATAGAAGCAGTAATGTGTATTGTAGAATTTTAGAAAAATACAAGCAAATTTTATGGGGTACTAGGGTGGTGTAGTCTGTTGAGCATCTGACCCGTGGGTTTCAGCTCAGGCTGTGATCTCAGGGTTATGAGATGGAGCCCTGTATCTGCACTCAGTGCAGAGTCTGCTTAAGACTCTCCTCCCTCTCCCCCTTCCTGTGTTCTGTCTCTAAATCTTTAAAAATACATATGAGCACATTTTTATTTTTATTTTTTTATGAGCACATTTTAAAAATCATCTTAATAACTGGTCTATTTAATTACATAAAAATTTTCAAGCTTGGTACAGTGAAAGTCACCTTAAACAAAATTAGAAATTAAGCTACAGATTGGGAGAAAATATTTGCAGCCTGCATAATAGGATAATATCTGTGGTAGGTAGGCCCTTCCAGGAGGTCCACACCTTAATTCCTGGAACCTATGAATATATTATTTTACCTGGCACAGGAATTAAACATTGCAGTTGAAATTAATGGTTGCTGTCTTTAAAATGGTTAGATTTCAAGATAGGAAGAGTATCTCGGATTATCCAGATGGACCCAATGTAATTACAGGTGTCCTTAAAAGTTGAAGAGGGAGGGGCACCTGGGTGGCTCAGTGGGTTAAAGCCTCTGCCTTCAGCTCAGGTCATGATCTCAGGGTCCTGGGATCGAGCCCCGCATCAGGCTCTCTGCTCATCGGGGAGCCTGCTTCCTCCTCTCTCTTTCAGCCCGCCTCTCTACCTACTTGTGATCTTCTCTCTTGTCAAATAAAAACAAAACAAAACAAAAGTTGAAGAGGGAGGCAGAAGAGAGCAGAGCGGTAAGAACTTGACTTCGACTTGCTAGCTTTGAAGATGGAGGAAGACAGCCAGTAGCCAAGGAATGTGGGCAGCTTCTAGAAGCTGGGAAAGACAAGGAATGAATTTTCAGTGCCTACAGATATGAATGCAGCCCTGCCAACCTTGATTTCAGCTCCATGGAACATGTCAGACCTCTGACAAATTTGTGTTTTGTGGTAAATTTGTTAGGGCAGCAGTAGAAAAACGGGTAAAGGGTATGAACAGGCAATTATAGAAAAAATCCCCATCACCACTGAACATACAAAAAGGCGCTTATTTTTATGTTCTTGGGGATAGATGAATTCGAAGAAATGGTCAGAAGTTTAGAGAACTTGTGGGTCAAGTGGGCGAAGAAGGGGACTGTACGGATGATCAAGAACAGCTGACTAGACTGAGACCAGTTGTGTTCATGTGAATGGATGTATTTTTCTAATGTTCACTTGCTGTGAAGTTTTTCTCTTGGGTAGCATTGGACTCTGTTCTGGCGTTACAGTCTCCCCATGTAGAGTAGGGATGTGTGGACTCCAGGCTGATGATCTGAAGGGTTTGAAAAGTTAATTAAGCCTGCAAAATCCTGAGCTCTCTAATTCTCAGATCCTGAGGTAGTACAGCTATAGCAGAAGTTAATAGGGAGCTGATATTCTCAGTACCACAGACTCCAAAGATGACGTGAGAGGGATTGGTCTAGTTAACCTAGTTTATTAGGATTTCCTCTCCCCACCCCACAACTGGTTTGGCTTCAAATCTTAGGGTATTGGGTGCCAGTACTACCAGCCTTTCCTCTTACAGTTTTGGTTGGCAGGGGCCATGGGTGACCAGAAACTTGGCTAACATTCTTTGGAGACCCTTGGTAAGGGGAATCTGAGGTGTGGGGGAGGAGAAATGCTTTTCCATGTGGGCCCAAGGGCAGTGCTTAGAGTGTTGAGGGGTCAGGATGTGACCAGCTCCCAGCCCGGCTCCTCGCTGAATTTGGGGACCTGCAGCCTTAGAGTGAAGGTGGTGAGGAAGAGCAATGTGTAGAGAGTTCTGGTCTTGGTGCTGAGGTCTTTGGGAAAGTCTGCTTACAGGGGCTTCTACTGGTCGTCTTGCCTGGGCTGGGTAGCTTTTCCCTGTAACTGTGGATGACTCCAATCTTGCATCCCCTCTTCTGTAGTCTCCTGCTTTGGGTTTCCTGGGGCTCTCTCTCTTTTTGGCTGAAGATGGGGCTGAAGCCTTGTTCTGTCTCTTACCTGAGGCAGGAACCTCAGGGTTTGAGGACTTGCTTAGGTTTGAGTAGTTCTCACCAGTCTCCATGCAAGCATATGGCTCCTGGCACGAGACCTCAGCTACTATCTTCATCTTCATTCTTTCCTCTGTCTGAGACCCTTGTTTGGCCCTGCCAGACCCTTGTGGCTGTGGCTGGGAAGAAGAGTGTGAGTGGTAGTGGGAGATCTGGACAGGCTGATGTGGGCTGTTAATTTTGGAGGGATGACAGCTTGAAGAGTGGGGGCACAAATTAGAGGGACGATTCTGCTGTGGGGGGCAGGAAGAGAGTCTCCAGGAGCCTGGAGTTGTGGAGCTCAGTGCAGAGTTGCTGCCAAACAACTGACCTGGGTCAGGGGATCTGGAAGCAGGGCTCTGCTGTAGTTTTTTCAGCCTGAGTTCCAACTCTGTACTCCAGTGCCAGGCCTGGATCCCAGAGTTAGGGGGCACCTCTGGGACAGCCTCTCCCTGGGAGGATGGAGTCTTTGCCTTAGTCTCTGGAAACAGTTTTCTCTTGGGTAGGTCAGGCTGGTTGGGCTCAATCTTCAGAGCTTTAGCTAAGGTGGCAGGCCAGGGTTTTGGGTGCAGGGGATCCACTGCTGGAGGACTAGAGCCCTGGGGGATCCCTCTTGGTTGCACATTCCTCCACACAAAGTCAGAGTCAGTATGTGGATCTGGTAGAGGGGCAGAGAGAGAGCTGGGGGTTGGGGTTGGGAGCTCAGTGGCCCAGCAGTTGTCTCTCTGCTCCACTGTTTCCCCCTTCGGCTTATAGGTATGTTGGTCTCCAGGAGGCTCACTTATGTGAGACTTTGACTTAGAGTTTGAAGGTGAGCTGGGGCCCCATAGTGGGGACCCAGGAACACAACAGGTTTCTTTCTGCTGCTTGTTCCTCCCAATAGGCTCAGAGTCAGACAGGGCTCCCAAGGATCTGGCTCTATGTGGGTCTTGGGGTAAGCTGCAAGCTGGGAGCTCAGAGGCCCAGGAGTTTTTTCTCCTTTTTATATCCCCACATCTATCCTCAGAATCAAACAGGACCCCCATGGGGCTAGCTCTGAGGGGCTCAAATTTAAGAGCTGGGGATGGGCTGAGGGCCAGAGATGGAGGCGCAGAAGCCCAGGAATTCCTAGAATGCTCAATGTCCCTCCATGCAGCTTCTGATCTAGTGAGGCCTCCCATAGGATTGAGTCTGTGAAGTTCCAGAATGGAAGCTAGAAATGGGCTGTGGCCAGGGGCTGGGGACCCAGAGGTCCAGCGGTTCTCTTTCTGCCCTTCCAAAGCTTTGGAGTCAGACAATATTCCCTGGGAACTCATTCCTAGGGATACCAGCAAGGAAGATGGAGGAAGCCTGGGAGAAGAAATGGGGTCTACAGAGACCCAAAGATTTTCTCTACTCTCCCTACCATTCCATGAAGTCTCAGATCTTGGTGGGACATACATAGGGCTGGTTGAGTAGAGTGCTGGGTTGAGGTCCAGGGCTGGGGGCCTAAAGGCCCATGGGTTTCCTGAATTTTCTCTGTGTCCCCACTGGGGCTTATACCTAGATGGATCTTCCTGAGAACTTTCTCCCTGGAGTTCTTGCAGGGGACCTAGGGGAGGGCAAGGGCATGGCATTGGAGACCTAGAGGTCTGAGGGCTCTCTCTGTGACTCATGGTTTCCCAGAAGTCCTTTGGTGCAGAAGGTCCTCCTTCAGGGATGACTTTCTGGAGTTCTGACAGAGCATCTCGGACTTGGCAGGGAGCTGGCATTGAAGGCTCAAAGGCTTGAGAACTCTCTTTATGTCCTGCGGTTCTCCACTGAGTTTTATATCCAGGTGGAACTCCCAGGGGGCTGGTTTCTTGTGTCTCTGTCATGGGGTCTGCAGATTGGCAACAGACCAGGATTGAAGGCTCAGAGATTTGAGGATACTTTATTTGCTTTGTGGTTTCCCAGAGGGCCTTAGCTGCAGGCAAGCCTTCTATAGGGGTGACTTCCTGGAGTTCTGAAAGGGAAGCCGGATTTGTGCTGGGAGCTGGCATTACAGGTTCAGTGGCCTTGGTGTCCTCATTTTGTCCCATAGTCCTCCGTGGGGCCTCAAGCCTTGTCAGGACTCCCAGAAGGCTAGGAGGATACAGTGGAGAGTCAGAGAGTGAATCCAGGATGTGTTGTTGGACCCTGGGATCTGGTGGCACATCCCACCAAACCTCAGATAAGAGGGAGAGCTTAGAAGGTCTGGTTCTTTGGAGTTCAGGCTGTAGGTACAGGGGTTGATCCTCAGCGATCCAAGGGACCTCTTTCTGCCGCATAAGCCACTGTGTATATGCCTTAGCACCACATAGGACTCCCTGGTGGTCCATGGGAAAGGACTTAAGATGGAAGGGTAGTGATGGGACAGAAGGGGAAGAAGGAGGAGGAAGTTGCTGAGGATCAAGGGCTATCCCTTCTAGATCCTCTGTAATACAGATTTTATGGGTAAGAGGCTGAATTGGGGAGCAATACTGGGGAAGCAGCAGATTGGACCTAGTCAGGAAGGCAAGCTTGTTGAAGAATACAGAGGGACCAACAGACAACTTCAGGGGAGAGGGGCCACTTGAGCTCAGGAAGATGGTTTCCAAGGACTCACTGTGCAGAGAGGGGAGACCCCAGAAGAGCTGGCTTTTTCTCTGACGTAGATAGCTTCCTGATTCTGTTTTGTTCCTCACAGGCAGGTTGGTCAGGATCTGAAAGGTGGGAAAGGATCTGGAAGAGCTTGGGCTCTGTGTTTGTACTTGATTTGGTGTCCTTATGGCTTTGTGGAGGTCCTCAGAACCACAGGATGGTTGAGATGGGGCTGTGGTGGCTTGCTCTCCAATGGAAGCTTCTGTGGGACATGAACATGGCTTCATTGGATCCAGAGATGTCTCCTCTTCTTCCTCCTCCTCCTCTTCTTCATCCTCTGACTTCTGCTTCCACAGGTGATCAAAGAAAGCCACATTGTACAGAAGTGGTAGGCCCTGGGGAGTGGAGAAAGATACTTCAGGCATGAAACCTTTCAGAGACACAAGGTGTGTCATAAAGCCCTTAATCTCTGTTCCACATCCAGAGGGAAGTTACTCACCTGGCCCCCACGTCTGTGGTCAGTAGTCACTTACCCATCTGGGCCATGACCTAGACCATATTTAGAGATCAGCATTCCCTACCATAACTACATCTAGGGTCAGTGATCATTCACCTGTCTTTAAATCCAGTATCCACGGTCACTCATCCGGCCTCACATTTAAGATTTAAAGTCCTTCCATGTCAATGATTTTTTTGCCTGAACTCAACATGTGATATCAAGAGTCATTCACCCAGCTGCACATCCATGTCACCCACCTTGCCTTGCATCATGTCCACACAGTACCAGGGTTGAAGTTGTCGCCGCCTCCCAAGCTGCCACCACCTCCGGATCTGCCAAATCATGAACAGGAATAGTGTCACCAGATTCCCTGGACTCTGGAGGCAGCTGCTGCCACAGTGTCTGCAGGCCAGGGCATGCATCAACTGGCTCCAGAGAAGCTCCATGTCCCCTTCAACCCCAAGCAGGCCTTGTAACAGCCATTCCATTTTCCTGAGCCTAGTGGCAGTTTACCCCGAGGTCATCACTGCATCACAGAACAAAGAACTCCCATCCCCCACATGCCTAACAGCCTTTTCCCTGAATTTAGAGCCAAAACATTGCCTCTGTCAGGCAACTAATATTTCATAACAGTGAAACCTTAGTGATCCCTTTTGTCTTGACTACCAGAGCCAGATTTATGCTTCAGACATTGTCATTAAGAACGTGGATTCTAGGGCACCTGGGTGGCTCAGTGAGTTAAAGCCTCTGCCTTCGGCTCAGGTCATGATCCCAGAGTCCTGGGATCGAGCCCCACATCCCCACATTGGACTCTCTGCTCAGCAGGGAGCCTGCTTCCCTTCCTCTCTCTCTGCCTGCCTCTCTGCCTACTTGTGATCTCTCTCTCTGTCAAATAAATAAATAAAATCTTAAAAAAAAAAAAAAACATGGATTCTAGCATCAAACTGCTTTATTCAAATCCTGGTGCTGCTACTTCCTGTCTGTGAAATCAAACTGCTTAATCTTCTAGTGCTTCAGTTCTCTCACCTGTAAAATGGGGGTGATATTACCACATAGAGTTGTTGTGAGGATTAAATGGATAAATTCATATGATTAGGATAGAATATAGTATATGCTAAATATCTCTTTTGGGGCACCTGGGTGGCTCAGTTGATTTGAGTGGCTGACTCTTGGTTTCAGTTCAGGTCATGATATCAGGGCCCTGAAATCAAGCCCCGCATGGAGCTCTGCACTCATTGGGGAGTCTGCTTCTCTCCCTCTCCCTCTGCCCCTTCCTCTGTGCGCACGTGTGCATGCGCGCTCTCTTTCTAAAATAAATCTTTAAAAAATTACTTCTTTTAAGGTTTTTAATTATAAGCCTTGTTCCATCTTTAATATAAGGACTGTTTCCACCCTTACCCCTTTTAAAATCTCGTGTCAGCTGTGAAATGTTTTATTTGACTTTAAGTTAGTTAAGATCTTTTTGGCAAGCATGTATGTGAATACAAATCAAATATGCTTGACCATTTTTCTTCATTTGCCCCTCTTTATCCTAAAACCACCACTCTGTTCCAAATGGACTCTTCCTTTCAGGGCCAAACTTCAATCTCCACCTTCGAGGTACAATTTAATGCCTCTCTTCCTCATCCCACCCCCATCAAAGGCCCTCTTAGTCTGATAGAAAGAGCACTGAGCTGAAATTAAGACTTGGGTTTCCTAACTCTGTCACTAATAAGCTCTGTGATTTCAGACAAGAAAGATTTCTCCCCTAGGTATCATGAATTGGACTAGATTTATTTATTCATTCACTCTTTCAACATATTTATTGATTGCCTACTATGGATCAGGTATTGTCTCAGGCTTGAGGAGATAGAAATAAGACAGTCTCTGCACTAAAGCAGGTCCCATTTCAGTGGGGGGGGGGAAACAGTCAAGTAATAGACAATTAAAATAGAAATATACACAGGATACTATGGGGTTAGAGGAGGGTATCTAACCAGCCTGGGTTTTCTTGCCAGGGGCTGCTTCCCAGATGAGATGATTAATGCTTGGTTTGAGGAGCCAAGAAAATGAAAGTATAGGGAGCAAGAGAAGGACAGTTCACATAGGAGGAACAGCCTGTATAAAGGTGCTAGGGCAGAGAAAGCATGTACCATTGGGGAAATTGCAGGTATTTCAATGTATGGGGGTTGGAGAAGCAGTAAAAGATGGACCTGGAAAGACAGGATCACCAAGGCCCCTCAATTTCAGTCTGAGAAACTGAAATTTATCCTGAAGAGGATGGAAAATCATTGAAAAATTTGGAGCATGAAAGTGACAAGATCAAGTTTTGTGTCTTAGAAAGAACACTGGCTCTAGTGAGGGCAAAGAGATTGAGGAGAGGTTAGTTAGGGAACTCTTGCTTTAGTTTAGTTTAGATGAGGCCTAAACCAAGGCAGTGAGTGAGAATGGACAATAGTGAATTCAAGTAAAATTCCAAAGATACAATTGGTTAGACTTCATTACCAATGGCATGGGGTGGAGGAGAGTGGGAGTTGAGAATGACTCTAGGGTTCCTAACTCAGGAGGCTTGGTGTGTATATTAGTGCCATTTTTCTTTAAGATTTTATTTATTTGTCAGAGTGAGAGAGCACAAGCAGGGGGAGCAGCAGCAGAAGAGGGAGAAGCAGGCTCCCTGCTGAGCAGGGAGCCCGATGTCAGGTTCTATCCCCCAGGACCCTGGGATCATGACCTGAGCTGAAGGTAGGTGCTTAACTGACTGAGCCACTCAGGCGTCCCTATTAGTGCCATTTTTCTGAAATAGAGAACACAGCCTGGGAACCAAGTTAGGGTTGGGGGGAGGGTAATGGGCTCCATTTAGACATTTGAATGTGAGGTTTTTGTGACAAGGAAAAACTGGGCAGGAGGCAATTAGATACATGGATCTGAAGCTTGGAAGAGCAGTCTATGGTGGAGATGTAAAATTCGACAGCTAGCAGCATATATGTAGCAGCTGAAACCATAAAAGGGTTAAAAATTATGTACTGATATGTACCATTTGGTTCAATGTGGCCAGCATTAAAAACTGGAGTAGCCAACACTAAAACTAGCAGATTATACATAATAATCAGTATTTCAAGTTTAAAATCTGGCAGCAGAGACACTCATTTCCACTAAGTAAAGACCATTTTTTAAAAAAGATTATTTATTTATTTGACAGAGAGAGAGAGAGAGATCACAAGTAGGCAGAGAGGCAGGGAAGCAGGCTCCCCACTGAGCCAGAAGCCGGATGCGGGGCTCAATCCCAGGACCCTGAGGTCATGACCTGAGTCAAAGGCAAAGGCTTAACCCACTGAGCCACCCAGGCACCACTAAGTAAAGACCATTTAGAGCTAAGTAGCAGTGGCTCCCCTTCACCATGGTTCTCTCCATGTTCTCATCATTGATGTCAAAGCTAAGGCTAGTTGCAGTTTATCTGTTGTGCCTGTGATTTTGTTTGCTTATATGTGTCCATTTTTACTTGTATTGCCTGCCTTGCATTTGAGTTTGCTACCTGTGGATGAAGAAGGTAAGTTGAGTCCTAATGGGAAACAGAAAAAGCAATGTTGAATACTTACATACTTATATTTATGGAAGGACAATTTACCAAGCTGTTAATTGTTTTCTCCTACTTCTTGCCAAAGGAAACATCCAGTAGGATAAAAAGGTAACTTTTTATGTTATGTATAGAATTCCTCTCTTCCAGGAGTTCTAGGTTTCTTGTCTCATGGAATTGGTAATAGATTTTAGTTTTCTAGTCCCGAACCCAAGTTTCAAGACACCCAGTCTACAACTTTATCCAGGCTCTTGTGTGGGAGGGGGATTTTAATTTAGCTAGGTGTTCTTGAGAAGGAGAAGATGGAGGATGATTGAAAGAAGACTTGCCCAAGGATAGAAGTGTGTTCAGAAATTTGAGAAAAGAGATAATAATAATGGGTTCCATGAGTGACAGGGTCTGTACAGAAGTCCATTGGGAGGCAGCAGGATTTTGGGGGAGGGGGGCAATAGGGCTTCTAATGAGGAGAGCCAATTTAATGGTGAGGGCACTGAACACCCAGCACATAGTCTTGGGAACTACGGCAGAAATGCTGTGTGCATACCTGAGAGAGATGCTGTGGAGCCACCTGCCTTTGAATGGACTGTATGCATTTATACAGTGCACATCCTAGTGGCAACTGTGATAAACTCAAGAGCAGAGGTTATTTTCTAAGTGGTTTTTTTGGGGGGGAGTGGGGGAAGGGTTGTTTTGTTGGTGAATGTATCATGCTAAAGAGGAAAAAAGCCCCTGCCACATCTTGATTTAATAATGGATGTCTTCCAACACTAGTAAATGAGATTTGAACCAGATTTAATTTAACAGAAAAATTAAGTAATGTAATGTTTCTTGTTTCTCAGTGTTGTGGAACAAATTTATAATCTTAAATTTTTACTCTTTAATAATACTCTATTAATCTTTACAACTTTTTTTTTTTAAAGGATTTTATTCATTTGAGAGAGAGAGAGTACAAGCAGGGGGAGAGGCAGAGAGAGAGGGAGAAGCAGGCTCCTCACATGCGGCTAGATCACAGGACCTGGAGATCATGACCTGAGCGGAAGGCAGAGGCTTAACCATCTGAGCCACACAGGCGCCCCTACAACTCTTTTGTTTAATCTTTACAACCCTTTGAAGTAGGTATTGTTATTTTTTTCCACATAAATGGAAACTGAGGCACAGAGAAGTTAATATAAATTATATAATTTATTACTAATATATTAGTATATTAATTATATAATTTGTTACAATATTATATATTATGTTATATATATAATTTATATGTACATATATAATTTATATGTGTATATATAATTATATATAATTTATATGTATAAATAATTTATATGTATATATAATTATATATATAATTTATATGTATATATAAAGTATATATAAATATATAAATATTTATATATTATATATATAATATATAATATGGCTATCCCAGAAAGCAGAGCCAGAGTTTGAGGACCCCCTTGCATTGTGAGGAATCATTTGGATATAAGAGACAGTAAATGAAATTCAATAGGTGTAAGTAAATGGGATTATATTGACTCTAACTGAAGAGTTAGGACTGGCTGGTTTCAGGTAGTAGGGTTGATTCAGGAACTCATTTCAATGTCATCAGGATTCAGTTTCTGTTTCTTTCTTTTCTTTTTTCTTTTTTTTTAAGATTTTATTTACTGGGGCACCTGGGTGGCTCAATTGTTGAGCGTCTGCCTTCAGCTCAGGTCATGATCCCAGGGTCCTGGGATCAAGCCCTGCATCGGGCTCCTGTCTGCTTCTCCCTCTCCCACTACCCCTTGTGTTCCCTCTTTTGCTATGTCTTTCTCTGTCAAATAAATAAAATCTAAAAAAAAAAAAAAAAAAAAGATTTTATTTATTTATTTAAAAGAGGGAGCACACAAGCAGGAGGAGGAGCAGGGGAGAGGGAGCAGACCCTTCCTGCTGAGCAGG